ACTAATTTAAAAGTTATAGCATGAAAACTATAACAAGCACAAAATTGTTATGAGGTTGTTCCCGGGGACTGAGCCTATGCTGAAAGAGTTAAAAGTATCTATTAGTTTTTTCACTTCTAGTGCCCCATACAACCCCCAGCTAAAATTCTCAGCAAATTTCTGTATAGCAGAAATTTGCCTTGTTTGAGAGATTACCTTGACCCAAATTAATTTTCTGTATTACCTTCTGGAATAATTAGCATGATGAATAAAAAAAGTTCATGTTGGTAGTGTGATGATGACAAATGTTTAGATTATTAATGTGTTAAATGTTCAGATTGTTAACCTGATGAATGTCCAGACTGTAAGCATGATGAATGTCAAGGTTGTGAATTTGATGAATTTCTAGATTGTTATTCTATTGAAATATTAATGTGATGAACATCCAGACTATTAACTTAATGAACATCCAGATTATTAACTTAATGAACATTCAGGTTATCAACATAATGAATGTCCAGATTGTTAGTGGGATGATTATCCATGTTATTAACGTGATGAATGTCCAGATTGTTAGTGGGATGATCATCCATGTTATTAATGTGATGAACATCCAGATTATTAATGTGATGAACATCCAGACTATTAATGTGATGAACATCCAGATTATTAACTTAATGAACATCCAGATTATTAATGTGATGAACGTCCAGATTATTAACCTAATGAACATCCAGATTATTAACCTAATGAACATCCAGATTATTAATGTGATGAACATCCAGATTATTAATGTGATGAACATCCAGATTATTAACCTAATGAACATCCAGATTATTAACGTGATGAATGTCCAGATTATTAATGTGATGAACGTCCAGATTATTAACTTAATGAACGTCCTGGTTATTAACATGATGAACATCCAGGTTATTAATGTGATGAACATCCAGATTATTAATGTGATGAACATCCAGATTATTAACGTGATGAACATCCAGGCTATTAACGTGATGAACATCCAGGCTATTAACATAGTGAACATCCAGGCTATTAACGTAATGAACATCCAGATTATTAACGTGATGAATGTCCAGATAGTTAGTTGGATGATCATCCATGTTGTTAGCATAATAAATGTCCACATTGTACAATTGGGATGAACATCCAAATTATTAGAATGATGAATGTTCATATTGTTCATGGGATGAATGTCCAGATTTTTATTAGAATATTTTTCTTCTTCAACCTAGGGTTTTACTTATGTAGCACCCTCAATACTGGAAGAGATGTACCGACCAGCCATTGTCAAGGCTCGTTCTCCAAGAAAGTATAGTCCACGGATACCATTTAGGTAAGACAGTTTTCATCCACACACACACAGCCTAAATTATTTATGAGCTATTTAATGAATAATATTAGAATTAATTAATTAAAAATATATATATATTTAATATATGTATATCCTTAATGCTAAAGGTGTTAGAAAAGGCTGTATATTAACCCTTTGGTGTCGGGCTTTGCAGAAATTGAGTCGTGAATTTCACTTGTGCACCAATACGTATGGTAACTCTGAGATTTCTAAACGTGTCCTCAAAAACTGGAATGATTTTGTTAAAGTTCATAAGTATCTTTTACACTAAGAATGACATTATTATAATTGTTTTGAATAAAAAATTTTATTTTTCTATTTTAGTTACTTGTACTTAAACTCTTAACAAATCGAGTGCATGGTGATTTTTGTTTTAAGTATAAAAATACTTTTCTTCATCTTATAGTTCTAACATTTCATTTGCATAATCTCTAGAACTTCCTAAAAGAATATGAAAAGTTTTTTAAGGTAAATGTGTATATTTTATTTTTCATTTTCTTTACCATATCACTAACTAGCTATTATCATCAACGTACAATGCAAAGAAATAATTAAAATAAAATAAAAAGTGCATATCTTTTAATTTTTTATAGAATATCTTTAAAGATTTTCCTTTTGTTAAATTCATAATTTCAGGTCTTTTCCTTTTCACATATAGTTAATTTTTTTCTTTATTGTCCTTTACCACTTGTTATTCATCTTGACACAAATCAACGGTGCCCCTCGAGACATATTACAGTGTCTCCAGCTGATGTACGCAACCCTTAGGCAAAATTTTCATTCACCACATAATATCGTAAGCCTTGTGAACTGACACAAAGTATGATTTTAAAACATAACTAATACATAATTAACTAAAATATAAAAGTAAGACATAAACACAATTTAAACTGCATCTATAACTATAACATAAATTTAATAAATAATTAAAATCAATGTTTCATATTTACACAGTCTACATGTATAATGTTTCGAGGTCCTCTACAGAGAGTTAGTTACTCAGAGTAAATTCAGGTGAGAAAAAATAAAAACTTGGATAACTCTATTTCAAAAGGATGCCCGAGTCTGGGTAAATATAAACCTATATTTTGGGATGGGCAGAAAAATTAAAGTAAAAAGTGTAAGGGCATTGTTTACAGACAATACCCCTTGTTGTTGCCAGAAATCAAAGTTTAAACAATTTTAAAATTTGTCTTTGAAAATTACACAACACATTTTGGAATTTTACCAAATATCAATTCTTGAGTATCAGAATTGTTGAAATAGAGTAAAGTTGCTGTTTTTGCTTAAATTGTGAAATCTGATATGCATGTGTGCCTTTGATCTCGGAGAAATAGCCAGGGTCATAATAGGTTTAACCTTTGTTAAAGAAATCTTTAGATAGCTTACTCTTACTTGTGCATTGTTTTTCATAGAAATGTCTTTTTTATTGACATTTATATTTTGAAAAAGTTTTATTAAATACATTTTTTTATGAAGTATGAAAATGATTTATGTTTATTGATCCCCAGGTGTAGATTGGTCCACCGAGGAAAAGCCAGGTGGGCCCCCTTGGAAAAGTATCTTAAAAAAGTACAACAGAGGGAAATAATTATTTGACTATTGCCATCACATTAACATCTAAACTAACGTATGTTAGCTCTGTTAATAATGATACCAGGGTTTGCACACATCCTGGAATATCCTGTAATTTCACCCTACCCCTGGAAAAAGCTCTGATTTTTTTATCTCTGGAAAAAAGAAAGTCCTCCTACATTAGATACTTTACAGTCAAACATTCGTTGATCCAAACATGAAGGTTTCCAATCCTTTTTTTTTAAGCCACACACACACATTTTCAGGTTGGGTGCAATTTATGCAAGTCTAATGGGTTTTAGATAGTGATGTGTTACAATTTGTCATAATGAGTGCAATGCACGCCACAAATCTGTTATTCGATTGCCCGAATGAGTTTCTCTATCAAATGATATATACATATAACACAGACCAATGCACTGTCAAGCAGAACAGTAGGCCTACATATCACCTGACAGTGGCTGACAATGCCAAGAGGCAAATGTGTATTTAATGAGGGGTGGCTGAAGAATCCTGAATACTATATGTGGTTGAACTGAGATCTGTATATTTACAATGCAAGAAGAGAAGTGGCTTCCATGAAGCACCTGCATTTGCGTTTGACAAGTGGCAAGCTATGTTCATTGGGAGTAATAGAATATATTTTTATAAAAGTTATATTCAAACTAAATTCACTAGTCCACCCATAGCTGGCGTAGCCACGAGTATGTGTACCTCACAGCAATCGCCAACACCATTTGTACCAAGATTGGTTTGTTTAAAATCTGAAATTCTCTGGACATTGAAAGTTGTTAAATCACACTGTTCCTTCAGCTCGTGTTTTTGGATGTCAGACCACTCTTTGCTGAACATGTTCTCAGACTCAACAATTTTCATGTGGCGAGAAGAAATGTATGATTTTGGTATAGCACCATATCTGAAATCTATTCTCACTAAGAAAATCAAGGACCAAAATGGATACGTCTTGCCCTTTGGTGAAAGCCTAAATCACAAGAACAGAAAAAAATAGATGGATTTCGATGCCCTTGTTTTGGAAGATGACAAGGTCTGTATCAGACTATTACTAACAACAACACAATAATAAGATAAAAGATAATAATTGTAATACTACTAATACTTATTTAATTATTTATTTTTCTTTCAAACAGCCATAAAGATAGATGAAATACAGATAAAAAGTTGATTAGAATGTACCTTCTGTGTTATGTTACTTTTTTTTACTAACAATACACTTTCAATCATTATAGAAAAATTTAAACATTCATAACTAAAGAAGTTCCCGTGAAGCTTATTTGTGGAATACTTCTTTATATCTGTGATTAATTATTTCTATAAATGTTAGTAAATATAACTAGACAAAATGGCAACATTGGTATTAGAAGATGTTAAACAAGATTTCATATTAACATATATCTGAAATTAACAATTTAATAAGTATAACACAAAAACATAATATCCTGTAATGTTTTTGCACCATTATCACAAACAACCACTTGTATACTTGGCACTTTCAAGGATGGTGCTGATGCTTCAACATGGCCCATTTAGAAACTTCTGTTGTGTGATTATTCAAAGATTCTCAAGAGAGGACTATACATCAGTCACTGGATCGAATGTTTTTCCTCTTACATTTTGATCCCATAGGTGGCTGCAGAGCGTACTATAAAAATATGGCCAAACATTGTCCAGTATGTTATAAAAGTGATGAAAAATGGACAAATCCTTAGACTGACCCAAATGATGATGTTGCTTCATATATCAAAGATAAACTGGTCATTCCAAAATTGTTGCCATTAACATCCATTGCTAAGCTGATATCACCAAGTTTATCAATTTATCAAATAGACAGGCCTATGATGCCATTTATTGTACAGGATATTTTCATCGTAGTAGTGAACATACTGAAACCTTTCATGAAACCAGAAGTGTTGAACAAAATTGCTATTGTAAAGCTCCATAGACTTGATTTACAGAACAAAGAGAACTATAGTTAATTCAATAAAATTGATCTTGGATTTGCACCAGAACAAGAGCTCAGTAAAATTTTTTCATCAACTCCAAAGGCCATCAGTGATATCAAAGTCATGGAACTGAGAAACAAATGCCATGATTTTATGGTGAATCTTGCTGGTAAGATACTGGAAAAATCCACATTCAAGTATCCACTGGCCAGGTATATCACATGCCTCGACCCCAGAACCATGGCAATGTCAAAACAGGACAGCGTGACAAGGATGAAAAAAACTGCTTACTTTGCTGGTAGAGGCTAGGAGAGTGCCTGGAGGATTAAGAAGCTGTGATGACATGCTGGCCCAGTTTGAAGAAGTTATTGATGTGGATACAGATTGGATGAATTTTGGTCCAAGTTTCTGTCTAAAAATGTCCACTTCAACAAAGTTTGGAGTGTTGTAAAAGATTTGCACCTAATTTCACAGGTACAAGCAACTGTAAAAAGAGGATTCTTTATTAACAAGGAAATTGAAGTGGAAAATTTACATGAACAATCCCTTATTTCACAGAGAGTAATCTGTGACCATATTAATGCTGTTGGTAGAGTCTTTAATGTTAACATCAATAGCTTGCTTCTAGCTTCAGCAGGATCTGTAAGGCAGAGGTGTATGACCTTTACTGAGGAACAATGGAAATGAAAAGAACAGGAAAAAATTGGTCAAAAAAGAAAGACTGTGATGGAAATAATAGACGACATAAAAAAAAGAAAAGACAACATTTGTAGAAGAATATTGCTGCTTTGCATAAGTCAGCAGACGAGTTTGCTGAAAAGGCAAAAGCATCAAGAAAATGTACTTTAATTACCAAATCCAACAGCCTCAGGCACACTGCTAAAGAAAAAAAAAGGAACTGATTTAGTTAAAAGACTATTTAGATGAAACATTAAAAAAATGGAAAGAAAACATATACATACATACTGTGTACATGTGTAATTTTTCATTGAAATTAAAACATAATAATTACCCATGCATTTCTCTTTCTCTACCAGGTTGTCCAGAGATATTGAATCTGGATCTGTGCATATGTCTGTCTTGTTTTGTTCTTTCTGTTTAATAATGTTAAGTTCATAGGTAGTAAATCTAGTTCTCATGTTATAATCTAGCTACTTAACTAATTACACCATGAAAACTATGCAAGTGTTTTGTTCTTTCTGTTTAATAATGTAAGTTCATAGGTAGTAAATCTAGTTCTCATGTTATAATCTTAGCTACTTAACTAATTACACCATGAAAACTATGCAAGTGTTTTGTTCTTTCTGTTTAATAATGTAAGTTCATAGGTAGTAAATCTAGTTCTCATGTTATAATCCTAGCTACTTAACTAATTACACCATGAAAACTATGCAAATGTTTTGTTCTCGCAGCCCTTGCAAAGCATCTAATCCATTTTTGTTTGAGGAGTCAACAAAAAATGGGAGTCTTTCATCTCCAGTGAGCCAGAGTCAGGAGCAAATGGATACAAGTAGCTGCCTTCCTCAGATGGGTCCTTCTCCTAGATCGCCTTCAATCCCTGCGTGGAAACAAGGCCTTAAGGTAGGAATCTTATAGTTTTTGATATCGTTTTAAATGCAATTATTTGTTCTTTAACCCTATCACCACGGGTATTCTTTACTGTGCATGATACAAGGTTTTAGTAGCTTACATTCAAAATTCTGTTAAACTACTTTTTGTTTATGTTATGCTAATTAGAATAGCCTAAAATCTTAGCTAATAATCCATATTTTAATAGTATATATGTTTTAAGTTTCTAATTCTACAAGGCAATATTTTAAAAATTCCTGAATATCCCATAGTGTGACACATTTCCTCTAGGCATCTTGTCTCCTCTATTTTTATCCACCACCCCTGGAAAAGTACAAAATTAAACGTACATTATTCTTTATAAAATCTTCATTGCTCTGACAAACCATATTTTTTATAGTCTTCAGTTTTGTTTGGTTATAGAGCTATGAAATAGAAAATCAGACCCCTCCTGCCACACCCACCCATTGCATCCTCTCTTTCAGGATTTGTTAATAGTTCTCTCTTACATTTAATTTTGTATTACCTATAACCACTAGAAGGTCAAGGTTTTCATCTATCAAGTAACGTATTGTATAACGTTATGCTCTGAACAGTTAGATGTCAATTTTATTCAGAGTACCAACATTGTTCCCATGAGAAAGTTAATGACTAGCTTGGATGAATTTGTAACGGCTCTTGTTGCATAGTTAGAAAGCCAGAAACTATTTGAGAGGTAAGAGAACTTGTCTACTTTTTGCATGTTACTAGTCTATATTGTTTTGTGCATTATTTAATTAAATAAAAATTATAAAGTGCATTACTATCATTAGTATATAATATTTAGGGTTAACTCTCTTCAACAATCGACGGCAAGAAAAAAAAAAGATTGGTTAAGTATTTTATTTCTCGTTTTTCATGTTTATTCTTTATGTATAATTATAAAAATAAGTAAAATGTAAAACTAGGGATCCTTTTAGGTTAGTTAAAATCAGATTGGGTAAAATAAATAATAATAATATCATAATGAAAATGTTTTATGAGGCATACGTGTGAGCTGCATGTTCCTTGAGTGATTTACAGCTTATAATGGTGTGGATAGTAGTTATACATGATTCAAAGGGCAATAAAACAATAAAATTTAATTATAAATAGATGTATACTGTTACAAACTTAGAGCTGCTTAAGATAAACGTATGTAGTTTCATGTTACAAGTTAAAGTCATTCTAGAAAGAAAAAACGGTAATTTAGGTTTATTTCGATATTTTTTTGGTGGTTACGAAGTCGGTCAAATTGACCGATTCCATTTTGAGATAGGATAGAGAAAAATAACAAAAAATAAAGTTACTGAAAAAATACCATTTTAAAATGCATTTAGGAAGTTTTAGGGATTATACAAAGGAAATTTGAGATTTTTGGAATTTTAATTTTAACATGAAAATTACTTTGCACATGGTCTATTCAAAACAAATACTCAATATATTCATGAACAAATCTTTATCTTATTTTATTAAAAATATTTCACTAAAAATATGATTTTTGTAT